AGTTTGACGAAATAATGAAATCTGGTTCAATTGTTATGTTATGGCTAAGGTTCACAATGCTTCAGCTGTGCAAAGTGTGCTTCTTTGGGAACACGCTGTTCTCTCCACCCACTCAGCCCTCTCCGACTCAGAACCTTTTTCTGTGAACATTATAACCTGAAAGACATTGTTGTGGGATGCTTTTCAGTTTCAGCACTGCAAACTGATGGCCTTGATCTTTTGTGTGAGAGAGAAAGGCCAAAGACAGAACTTTGAGAAACACAGCAACTCAATTAATGAAAATGAAATTTCTCAATCCTCTAGTTCATTTTACATTCGTGGCACAATGAAGAAACAATAACTAATACTTATTCCTTGAACTCTCTTCCATCTTTCAGAATACAACAGTAAGCTCTAAATAGAAATGCTGTAGTAGCTGTTAAGTATTTGAAGAGACACTCTTGTTTTAAAACTCTTTTTATTTCATTTTTTTGGTTTTGCTTGCTTTTGTTTTACTTTCCATGCTATGCTCTAGGATGAGGCATCCATTGTGCAGGTGGACAGAGACCCTGGTGCCACACAGCCAGATGTTCCACTCACTAGCAAAGTGGGATCAGGAAACTCTACAGAACTTCACTTCCAGCAGAATGAACCTCAGACCCCCTAAAGCAGAATGACTCCACTCTTTGTGTCTAGACACTGGTCCCACTGTGGGATTACTCCATTTCACCCCAAACCATTGAATAAGGCTGTTAATGAACTATGGTGAAGTAAATCTAGATGCACAATGCAAGCATCACCACACCACCTTATCTCCTTAGTAGTTTTATGGGTGTGAGCTTATTTCACTCTGAAGTGCACCCCAGTGTCTACATATACAGCCAAGCAGTTCGAATGCTATAAATTGGTACAAGTGTGCTAACATAATCTTAACTTCACTTACTTTGCAACAACTTCCCTAATAAGGACAAGTTTTGACATTAGAGACCACCAGGATTTTCTTTCCTCTCTCCTCATGGCATCCCCAGGGGCTTACAATGAATAACTGTAAGTCCTTCATTAAGAACTTTTTATTTCACATAGAAATGGAGATCTTTCCTACTTTTCTGGAGATTTTCCAGAGCAATTTTCTTGTTGGATTTTAAATGGGGCACTCCCAGTGTACTTAGTTCTACTGGCACCCGTTCTCTCCTCAGTTCACAAAGTAATAACAAATGTAAAGAGAAACTACAAAACAAGCTACACAGGGTGCCTGAAGCACCCAGTTCTGCTAAAGGTTTTGGTCTTTCTGGGGAAGGCCTAAACAGACTATCCTGATTTCTGAAGATTGTGACTGTAAAAGTAGCAGATGAGACGTCCCTTTGGAAGCAGCAGCTGCATTTACAGATTTACAAAAGGTTTTCCTGATTCCTATGTAGAATTTTTTCTAATAAAACCGATTCTCCAATGTGCCTGGAATGTGCAGACTATGTTCCCCTGACTACACACAAAAAGAGTAAGAAAGTTCCACTACAAAACAGCTCCCCAAACTAAGAAAGAGATTTCAAAAAAATATAATGCACTTTCCTATGAAAAGCATCTGCTGGTCAATCTTCAGCAAGAAAAAATAGGAAGCAGAAAGAAAATACTTCTGCCTCAGATTTAGTGATCAAGAAACTTCACTAAGCAAAAGAAAATCACTGAGGTTTTAATCATCTGCCTTCAGCCTCATAAATTTCTCTTATTCTTATGTTGTCTAGAGTTTTTTTTTCACAGTCACTGGAAGGAAGGTGAAAGAATGCAAAGAATGAAAAATTTCTGATTTTTTGGATTTGTGTGGTTGCATTCATGGAGATTCAACTTGTGTGTTGTCAAACGTTCCATACAATGGGTGGCTAAAACTAGGAAAACAGAGATCATACCCCATAGGCAAGAGTGTGATTAATTCAACATTTGGAAAACAACTAGGACAAATGTCAGGCCAAGAGCATTTGGTCGCAGCTAAATTATATAACAACTTTCAGAAGCACAGTCAGCTTTTGGGCACATACTGTCTCTGGGATTAACAGACAGACTTAGGGGCATGGCCAATTCCAAGAATTGTTAGAAGCTGGCTACTAGCCTGAAGGGAAGAGCTGTGGTATGGCAATCTGGTTTTACACATAAGGAAATAATTCCTTTTTTTTTTTTTTGTGTTAACATTCTTTTGGGCTAGAAGGGAGTACTGACTGGAAGAATAATTCTGGAATTTAACCAGAGTATAGTGCCAGTGGGAATTCCATAAATGCCCAAGACATTTCTGAATGGGACAATCATTTCTCCATTGGAGCAGTCCATGACATACCCTGCTCCTGAATTAACAGTCTGTGAATCAAGAAGCACCTTTGAAGGAGACAACAGAACAGATTTTAAGAACGCACGTCACACAAATATGAGGTGACAATTCTCTTCATCTGTATTTAGAATTCTAAATCAAACATAAATTGGCATGCATTAGACAACAAATGTAGATGTCTAAAATAGGCCTGATGAACTCCATCAAACAAATGCTTAATTTTCTCCAGTCACTGTAGTCACTTGATGACTATCTTCCATGCAAATATCTAAAATTAGGCAACAAGAGTTCCGTCCCTATCAACATAGTCTCCACAGGGCCCAAACACACAGGTTGAATTCCCATAGTTTGATCCAAATCACTGCATAGTCTAGTGCCAAAATATTATACGTGACCTCAATAATAATGAATATTTGATACAGCTTGCATCATGGAACTGTTGCTCAGTACACTCACCCTTTTCCTTACAGCCTTCACAAGTGCTCCTGGATTCCTCTCTGGTGCCAAGCTCTTGCATAACAGTACCTATAAGTAATACTGTGTACTACTTCCAGTTGGCCAAGAGATTCTGTCCCACACTGGTGCAACTTCTTGGCCTCTGTTATTCATGTTTTTGTCACCTCTTGTCTAGACCAAAACAATGCAATACTCCTAGGCATAGTGCCATCAGCCTCATAAGAAACTGAGAGCTGACAGAAAATTCTGAAGGAAAATGTTTTCTCCAGCAAAGTCATGAAAACTGGCCCCTGTTCCCTATACTACCTAAAAGAAGTATTATGTCTTTAGTTGCAGCAGAATTTAATTGTTCCAACCTTCCATAAGGTCCATATAAGCCTCTGTGATGAAAACTATGACTAACATGTCCGTGTCTGATGCACAACAGAACTCTCCCTTGCAATTGCAAAGCTCACCTTTCACATGGAGAACTTACATGGCTTTGTGGAACAAACTTCCAAAGCAAATAAGGACATTCCTACCACTCAGGATGACGACATTGCCTCAAACATGCCAAACCTAACACGGTGTAGCATATGCTTTTTCAGCAGCTCCCAAACCCAAACAAACTGTGCACTGCACACACAGGGAGAGGACGAAGGGGAAAGACCAAGCTACACTGAAGGAAAGCCACATGCACTGCTTAATGCACTAGTGGGAGGAACTCAGATATGATGATGACAAATGGAGTGTAATGATCTCTGTGGAACAGAAAAGAATGGGATAACTGCTCCTAACTGTGAACAAACTCTAGGGAGAAAAGCTTATAATGCAGCATAGAGAAAATTTGTGAAGGCTATGCACAGTCTGTTGATAGAATAATTACAGATACATAGCAGTACTACATTACGCAGAAAAGATGCTTCAATAGAAAATTAAAGTTCCAAAGTTAGGAAATTTCAGACCTCAATCTGCCACTGTAGGCACAACTTTCCCCCTCTGTGTGTGTGCATGGCTGAGGCCCAGAATACAGGGCCTCTAGGTGACTTCAGAGGAAAATTTGCAGAACTTCTTAGCATGGGACAAAAGTGTGTTACGCCTTAGTCTTGTTCTTGGATTTGGCTGAATGGAGCTGTTCTGACTGAAATTTCTCCACCAGAACTCATGCCTGAGCCAAACACTTGGCATAGAAAACTTGAATCAGATAGTTAAAGTTTTGTAAAACTATCTATAACCGAGAACAAGCTCTTACCATGAGAAGGATCAAGCAACTGGAATAACAGGCACTGATACCCAAACACAGTAAAATAACAAACTTCAGCCAAAGAGCTCAGAAGAAGGATTTTTCATTCTGAGCCTTTACAGTAGAAAATAATCTGTTATCTTCAGCTTTTGAATCTTGACCCATGTACATCAATTTTAAATTCATTTCTTCATCTAAAGTGCTGCTCTGAGTTTGATTCCAAATAACAAAACCACTATATCAGAAAAAATTGCTCAGATAAGCAAAGAAAGACACATCATCTCTGAAACAGATAAGGCAGATGCAAACATATGCTTGGTTTTCTTGCATATGTAGCAGCCTCAGATCACTTGCCAAGTGAAAGATTTTAGAATTTTCTAATTAATGAAATATTCAGCAAAACCTGAGGTGTAGAGAAGGATAGCATTATTTATAACATATGCCCCAAAATCTCAGAGGGGAATTCACTCCGGTATAAGACATTGAAAAGTGGCTGACAAATAATTTGCAAGTAAGCACACAGCAATGAAATGTTGATGCACTCCCTAAAACCACAAAGAGCTGTGACAGACATTTTATCATATTTAAACAAAAAAGATTTCAGCAACAGAAAATATAAGAGATAGTTAGAAAGTCAGATGGGAGAACAGAGCTAACAAAAGACTTGAAGAATAGTTTTTATTGTGTTATTAATCTTGATTATAGGGAACAAGATCAATATGAAATTATCACTGTTTATATAGAATGACAGAGAAAGATCTGTTTTCTGTAAAGAAGGAAAAAAAGAATAAAATAGCATGTATAAAATATTATGCATAAAATCTGTGTCAATTTAAAACTTGTATTTGTCAGAAATTCTATACTGACTGGATTTACAAGAAATCCCAAATGTAGCCATATGTGAAAAGAATGACTGCAAAAAGAACCAATTTATTTTATGTATTTATATGTCACTTCTGTTTGTAGTGAAATTCATTTGCTTTCATTAATATTTATATTGTAATCTGAAAACATAACAGGAAAGCACACACAAACTTAAACTTTTGTTAAATACATTATATTTGAAGAAAAAGGATTGGAAAATCATACTTAAATTCAGGAGCCTGAGCTTAGCCTACAGTATGTAGATGATGATACCAAGCTCATAAAAATACCCTTTCTGCACTGTTTTAGTGGCAGTGCCATCACCATTCCTGCAAGGAACAGAGTACACTCTGAAATTAGTAGAAACAAGCAAACGATCAATGGCGAGGAAAAAGAAAAAAACAAACTAATCAAAGTGTCACAAGCAGAATTAGGAGTCCAGAAACACTTTTAATTCTAATTATTCTCTCTTTCTTAGCTACAGTATGGAGGTAGGAAGTGACAGCTTCTCCCTGCTTCATTTCTTTCTGTAACACTGGGATAATAACAACACCTAAGACCTTGTTTATTGAAAAACAGTGCTTTAAATGTAAGCTCTCAGTACTACTTTAAAGGAGGAGAAAAAACAAGAACAATCCTTTCATAATCCAAAACTTCAAGATACCTTTTTCCAATTTGGAAAAACTTTGGAAAAGATTGTGAGTTCTCTACAGCATGTTTTAGGTTTTCCAGAGTAGTTTGATTATTGCTCTTATTCTGTATCCTATTTGTAAACTGAACTTCTGCAACAGTCTTCAAGTCTGATCAATGATCTTTAAATGCTATTTAGTAACAAAATTATTTTTTTGCAAGTAGGAATGCAATACTGTAGCTATTGATATATTTTCCTGCACACAGAGCATGATCTGATGAATTAAGGTCTGTTATGCTGCAGATGACAACAAAATGTTAGAGGGAAATAGCACAAATTACAAACAAATCACAAACCAGGAATTCACTTCATAATTTTAAACGGTGATGAGATGACACAGGGATGACAAGCCCCACATTCCCTTGTCACAAAGAGTGACTTTTTAGTTTTAGTGTTAGTGTGGTTTAGTGATACTTGGGGATATTCTCTCAACCGCAGTGCTCATACAGCACTGAAGACACTTTAACACAGACATCTGTCACACTGGAGCACTGCAAAGAATCTGATAAAGTCAAATATTAGGTCAGATTATATTTCTTGTTAATATGAAAAGCAGCAGCTTTGTTTACATTTATTTCTCAAAACAAAAGGATAATCTCCTTCCACGTATTCAATCAGACACTAACCTGACTGTATGCTTACAACTGATATTTTACACACTATAGTTCAAACGCACCAAACAACTGTGAAACCAGCAGCACTATTCAATTTGTTTATATTAGCTCTGTGCTCAAGTGCTTTACCGTATCAGGAGCTAAAGCCAGAAGCTTTAATTGCCTTGACAACATACTGTAGATGTTTCAGAACACTCTGATAAAATTGTCATTGCTAGCTGAATACAGTCAGCAAATTATACTAACCTGAAGACGGCTATTACAGAGTTTGCTGAGTGGCTACATGCAATTTCTTTTGGTTTTCTTTTTGACTGAAGATTAAAGTAATTGTTCTATCTACTTAAGATTGCCCAAAGCACAACTGTTAACAGAAACCAAGATGATGAGCTCACCGTTATCATCATGGGAATACTCTATTCCAGAAACGGTGCATCTTCGGAAGACCATCTTGTTTTCAGTAAGTGTCCCAGTCTTGTCTGAGAAGATAAACTGCACCTGACCTAAGTCTTCTGTGATATTTAAAGCTCGGCACTGCAGCTGAGAGTCTGTTTCTTCATCATATAAATCTTTATCTTGATGGATAAAGTATACTTGGCAGATTTTAACTATTTCAATCGATACGTACAAGGAAATTGGAATCATAACCTAGAATACCCAAAAAGAAAGAGAATTAGGAGAAAATGGAAGCAAGGACACAAGGAATTAGTAAAATCTAGTTAACTTGGTACTAGATTAGAAGCTATGTACTTTATGCATGTACTGTAAGGTTATTACCATGTTTGAAAATAGTTTAACTATTATGTTAGGAAGAGGAAAACTTATGGTAATTTTCAGAGGTGAAATGCATTATTGTGTTCAGAAGTGCAATTATCAAAACTGGGACAGAAGCAGATATTTTTTAGGCTAATATGCTGTCCTGGTTTTGGCTGGAATAAAGTTAATTCTCTTCCTAGTAGCTGGTATAGTGCTGTATTTTGGGCCCCCTTCCCTAGAAAGGGATCCCAGCTGCTTGGCTTCCTTAGTCTCTAATTCCAAGCCACTGGCTTCGTTAACCCAGCAGTGGAGCAGCCAGGTAACAATGCACTGACCTGGACAATGGCTGAAAGCACCTGAGGAGACTTGAGGTTCACCCCCTGGGTTAAGGCTCTAGTAAACATTAGTAGTACCCTAATGCCATCAAGTTACAAAGGGGCAGAACCCATCTGCATTTCTGGAGTGACAGGGCAGGCCACAGTTTGCTCTTAGTTGGAAAGGTGTCCAGTACATTTGGAATTGACTTCCCCAGGGGTCAAGTACCACCCAGAGGTCTGCCCCAAGGCTGGACAGTTATGAGTGGCAGGGTGCAGCTTCCCATGTGCCTCAATGTTGGAAGCAGCACTACACACACTTCACATTTATAGCTTTATTACAGCAAACTATGAACAGAGGTGACAGCATGTACAACTTGTTTACCTGGAAAACGATGATCACTGTCAGAAATAAATACAGTGAAGCTAAAACAGGAGACAAATATTTGCCATCAGGCCCTGGAACATCAAAAACTGGTTTCTTCTTCTCACCATATTGCCATACCCATAGGCCATGACCTGCAGAAGAGTGGAAAGAGAAAAAAAATGCAATTTTACTCCAAGGAAAAATGTTTACTGTATGGACTAATTCTTGGAGTTGAGTTACGTGGGAACTTAAGGCCAGATTTGTCTTTTTTAAGACCTTTGCCATACAAAGGTCTTCTTTTAAAACTAATCTGTAAGCCACATCTGATAAGGTCCTTTACATTCTTGATACAAATCCCCAGCATTGAACTCCTGAAAAATAAAAACAATATTTAAGCCAAGTGAGCAAATTATTTTATCCCTGTACTACCAACATGAGTACATCACCATACTAATGTCTTCATCGAAGTCTATATTTTCAGTCTTGAGAGCAAAAATTGGAAGCCACACGCTGAGAATGACCTATATCAAGACCTGTTTTATAAATATCCTGACTCAGATTTTTGAAAGCATTAGTTAAATGTCATACCTCCGCTTATACTTTCTCGACAGAAATGCAAAAATTGCCTGACTCTTACAGAACACAGCCTCACACGTCTCAAAGCACCAGGCACCTATGGTTTCCAAGGCTCAAGAAAATGTCTTTCCATTTTTGTTTTGGTTGTTACCACCTCCAGCAGCTTGCTCTGGCCTCTACTGGTGGCTTCCAGCCTTGCAGCAGAAGTGGCCGAAGGGAAGGCCCGTGTCACCTCCTGTGTGCCACCTCCTCTTGTTTCAGCTTCCTGAGCACACACCTCGGATACAGTGGCAGAGGGGACAGCTGCGGGCAATGACTCCTCAAGTTAAGCCTACCAGGGTGCTTCAGCCCTCAGGACTGGGCTCCCCAAAGCTGAGACACGACATGGGAGTGTCACAAACTCAGTGGAAACAAATATACTGGCTGATTCACAGCTGGAAATACTAATCTTTAAGCAGCATTTAACAATACCTGGAAAAGGGCACCCAGAGATGTATTCAAATGGCCTAAGACTGTTATTAAACTACACCACGGTTGTTAGGAAACTTTCTGCTGTTTATGCCATACGACTCCCACACAAGCATTAAGGACATGGAATCCAAACCCCATATATAACAAATCATCCTGTGTATTGAATCTAAAACTCAATTCTTTCTCACATATGAACCGAAAAGAAGGCCTGAAATGTATTAACCTGAACCTCGGCATTTCCTTTAACACTCCACGATGTCTAGAGTCTCCTACTTGGATTTATGCAGATTTAGACTTTTATTTATTTCTTCTGTGTTAAAGGTGCAGCCTTAGGGCCAGTGTGCTAATGTTGTGAATTGTGCCCTTGATTTAATAAACAGTGCTGGGGAATAGCACTGTGCTAATTATGTTTATTCTCTGCTCATAAATTACTTTGTTGACTGATTAATGGCATGTTACACACTACCACCTCTAATTTTGAAGGGACTGCTTATAAAGTTGATTCTTTTGGACTTGATATTTTTGGATTCGATCAAGGGTAGCAGAATCTAAGCCTTCAGATCTCTGATACTAACAGCATGTATTTTGATTGTTACTAAGAAGCTATTTAGATAGCTTGTGTATCAAGATATCTTTATTTCAAAAAAGAAAACACAACAAAAATGAGACAGTATAGAGGCAGTTTTATAGATTTCATGGTTTGGCAGCTACATATGTCTTTCATAAAGCTAAGTTCATGAATCTCAAGAGAGTCTGATACTTAAGTTTCTACTTTTAAAGAGCACTTACCGATAGCAGAAAACAGACACATGATTAGAAGTATGAGGACACACCAAAGGACATCTGCATTCATCTGTCTTTCAAGCTTACTGCGTTTGTAACGAGGTCCATTATTATTTAACAAAGCTTTGGTCTCATGCCCTGCAGAAGCAATTACATCAAATGATGTCATATGGATTTTTGTCATTATTTTAAGGAAACTATAAAAAGGCGTTACGCCTCGTCAGACAGAAAAACAGCTTCTACCTGCATAGATCACTATTCCTGCAACCTCCTCTGTATTTCTAATGGTACATCCACGTAACAAAAGATTTTCTTTGAACAGCCCATCCTTTTTTCCACTTTTATGTACACTGCAGAAAATTTAAAAACAGAACAAAGCACAGCATGTCAAAACATTAAGCCTGTTAAATCATACTACTCTGTAATATAACAAGCCCAGGAAACATCTTCAATGTTCAAGAAGTTTTTGTCAACCTGATGGTGAAATATTTCCCCAGATCTTTCTCCTGGGAAGATTCTCTGGCAGACTGAGCAACTGAGAATACCTACCCAAGAATCCCAGACATGCAGTAGCCCAGGTGGAGCAGTGCTAGCTGCTGTTGGATATACAGATGTACTGGAGAAATGCTCACTTAGAGATATGCAGGCCAAATCTACAGCACGTGTGAAGCCGAAGGCTTTGAAAATGTTTTGGAATTCCTATGCATGTGCAAACTGATAGTACAATCACAGCTAATACAGTCTGTCTGATTAACCCATTATTCACATGTACTTACCGAAGAAATCCTTGAAAGAATACGGTGAAATTGGGCAAGGACTGTGTTTCAGAAGCAGTGATACTAAGGAAGATCTGCCAGGGGTGATATGTATCAGTTCAGTGAAAAGGAAAGGAAAAAATTGCAGTGAGAACTTCCCTTCTGAAGTGTCTCACTGGCTTTAAGAAAGATGAAATGGCCTGAGCCCTGGTGATTCTTGTTGACTAGCACCAAAACACACGAGAAAAATGGAACAAAATAATGCTTCCACTACAACTTATTGTCTGCTGTGTGTGGACTGATTCAAATTTCAAATTTTATCTGACAGAGAAATAAAGAAAACTTCCTTATAAGAATTAACAGTCACCAGGGAAATGCTAAAAAACAACAACAATTAAAAAACAGCACGCAAATGTTTTATAAGGTAAAAAAGACAAACCAAATAATCACTTCAAGACTTTTCAAAATTAATAATAATATAACCAATTGCTGTACCCCAAAGCCTCCGAGAAGATTAAAGCAAAGTCTGAAACGCTTAAATATTTGGCCTTCACTTTCAGGGCATCAAAACCATCACCCTTCCAAAGCTGAAAAAATGGACTTCAATAAAAAAATAATAGTCAAAGCTTAAAGTTAAAGGGAAATCCTAGAAAAGCACATGTATCATATTAAAATGAACATTACTGAAATTAGCATTGCTGTTGCAAAGTAAAATTTTATGGCTACCTGGATTTGAGCATTTAAAATCCTGTGTGCCCCAAAATCTGCAAATTGTCTTAAAACTGAGCCTTTTATAAAAAGGTGGAAGTGTTTGGTTTTTTTTCCTCCTATTTGTTAAATCTTCACACCTAGGCTATATCTTCATGCTTTTCTCTGAAAGAATATTTTCTTTTTCTATATGAGGACCAAAATTCTAACCGTAGCACATGCTTTTAGGATCCCAGGCCTGAAGAACCCTACCAAATGTCTCAAGATCTGCGAGAAGAAAAGGTTCACATTGGTGAATCCTTTGTACTCTTCCCCAGTCTAGTAGCAGTACTTGCAGGTTATGCTGTTACGCTGGTTATGCTATGTAGCCTCCAGTCAATGCTCTCAGTGAGCAGAAATATCCATAAAGAATATATCTATACATTCATATACATGTATATATACACAGACCCACAGACATAGTGCTTTCCAGTTCAGTACAATATCTTATACCCACTCACTGCTCAAAAATACAAATTAAAAGCATTGGTGTTTTCACATGTATGCTTAGCTTTTCACTGTAGGGATGGAGAAAAAGTGGTGGGTTTGACAGCTGAGGTAGCTGCAGCAGTGACTACATCTGCCTAGAGACCAGAAACAAATGGAGAAGGAAAGAAGTGCATAACATCGTTTGTGATTCTGATACAAAAATGAAGATTGTTTTTTTTTTTTCACCAGGAGAGAACTTTGCCTGCTCAGCCCCCATCCTCTGTTAGCCTCAGATACAAGAATAGAGGTTTGGCTTCTGTCCTCTCCAGCAAACCTCCTTTAACCCACTGCCTCACCTTTTAAAAAGGAGCCTCAAAAACTGGAAGCTGCCAACAGGTGTAAGCACTGACTGCCAGCTGGAAAATTACCCAAGTTTGGCTAGGCTTAAATTATGGGAAATAATTTCTTAATGGTTCCACACTGTAGAAATTGCACTACTACTTGGATTCTGCCATTCCTCTGCTTTTTAAGCCTGATTTTACATCAGCCCTTCTTGTAAATCATGAGGATATTAGTTTGAATTTCTAATAAAGTCTACAGATGATAGTTATGATTCTTGTTAATAAATGGGACTTTTAAAGGATAAACCTACTTAAGAAGTAATTGCTCTGGCTTATGATTTTATAGTCTTCATTAATTTTTTACACTTCACAGTAACTGTGGACTGTGACAGGTATATTGCACATGCCAACCTTTAAACACAATTACTTGTGTATTTGTTCTATACAATTGTATATTTGTTCTTACTGACTTAGCTTATACAAGTACGCCAAAGCAATGGTGAAGTGTCTGAAGCTAATCTGTAGGTGCCAAGACCCCAATCTACTGCCCTCACCCACAGGTTGCACCTTCTTACCATGGCTCATCCTTATATATGTTTGGTATTGATCTTTACTTTTCCATATCCAAATAAAGTCAATTGATTCACCTGTTGCTCACCAGACCTTTAGAAAACAGGGATGAAATCAAAACCTGGGAGAAAGAAGCTGGCAGGGGCTGGAGGAAACTCATTGTTTCCTTCTTGTGTACACTCACTCCCAGAGACTCACTAACAGAACATGATCAATGCTGAAAGGGAAGAAAAAATTACAGACATAAAGATCTGGATTAAAAAATAATGAAAATGAGAGCTAGATAAAACTGCTCACTTTGATAACAAACCTTCCAAGGCTACTACTAATTTATGTTCGGGTGGAGAGATGGCTTAGATCCCATTTCTAGCCCTGCAGCTACAAACCTTAAACTTGTTACAGAGGCTGAACAGCCTGTTTTCCCCTTTTCTGGATTCAGGCCACTATAACTTTGGAGGCAAAGAAGGAAACTTTTCTCTGTCAGTACTTAAACCAGTGGCTGGCTGAAGCCTCTCAGATGCCTGGAAGGCAGAGGGTAGCCCACAGGGAAATGTCCTGGCCAGTGAACGTGCCATGCATGCTCCTTCCCTCTGCAATTTCTCACACAGATGACACAGCAAATATGTGGTATCTAAACATCTAAAACACACATGCACCACAAATCAGGAGACATGGGCAGACGAGATGCAGTTAGCTAGTACTTCGCAACAGCACTCTGAAAAGTGTTTGTGCAGAAAGAAACCTCCTGGTGCAACAGAGCAATGCAAAAATAAGTCTGATGGTAGCTCACTTCAGCCTCCTTATTATATTTTTCCTTGCTACGTGTTTACCAGCATTAAATAACAAGATGACGTATCAAAACTGTATTCAAAAGAGAGTATTTTTCACTCTGGTTTCTCAGGTATCTTACAAAACAAACAGTAGAGCTGGCACTACTTTCCAAGGCTTCACACTCCCAAGGGAATAAACTACCTTAAACATAACCTCAGTGCACATCATCAGTCTGAATCTTCCCAACTCTCAATTCTGACAAAGCTTAGTCTAGGTTGGTTATTTTTTTTTTTTTTTCTCCAGGAGATGTGGTATCACTAGAGCATATTAAAGAGACATCACTGTATAGATTTATACAATCTTTTTTCTTAAAAAAAAGGAACATGATTTAATATTAATTTTGTTTAGTTATCTTATGACAAGCTTTGAAATAGAAATACACAAGTATTCATATTATTATTATTCTCATCCCTTGCCGTACATATTTTGGTAAGATCAGATAATGTTTTCTGTTCTTACCTAACAACAAGATTTTTACTTTCAGAGAAAAGCTGAAAAGCCAGAATGCCAACTATTACTCCTTTTCCCTTGTGCATATACACACAAAATCCTAGAGACAAGATTTTAAAGCCACTGTTACTATTTGTGGAAGCCGGCATGGGATTTTTGAATGTTTGCCACACATACAGTACATAGTCTGGCTAGACCCATACAGGCAGGGGGCATGTTAGGTTTCATTCTACTCCTTGTACATGGAAGACTTCTTGTAGGGGAAATAAAAATGAGGAGATATGCTTGGGACAGCTGGAGGTGCAGAAGCTGCAGAACAGCAGTGAAGCAAGCACCTGAGCAGAAGCAGCAGTCTCTGCACACCCAGAGTGTGTCCCGTGCAGACTGTGCCAACCTACCTGACAAAGTCCTCTGCAGTAATGTGCACACTGCACTTCTGCAGATACAGGACAGGACCATGCCCACCTCAATGCATTTTGCAACATTTCTGTCATTTTTAATTCTCATGTCTCTCCTTTTACCCTGGTCTGCCCATGCTAAATTGGCTACCTTTTGGGATAACATTTCGGAATAACTTTACATGTTTACAACACACAGACAAATACGCCTATTTTCTGAAAGCTATGTCAGTACAGACATTAGAACCAAAGGGGCTCTTCAGCATTCAAACACAAAAAAATTTCTATGATTCTATTCTATTCTATGACAAAAAAACCCCAGGCTGAATCAAAACTGGAAACCTTCTAAGTGGTAAAACCTTCAAGCAAACTTTGACAGTAATGTCTCAGCACAGCTTCTGCACATGGATCTTTTCAAAGTCTATTACTTCATAGCATCTCTATTTAAATATCTGAGTAACACTTCACTTTCGTTTGAGCTATTACCAGTTGGGAACTATCTGAACCTTTCAAGCAATGACTACTGGTAACATCTTGAACAAGAGTTAAGATCCAAGTGTGACATGACAAGGACATGTTTCAATTCAGATGTGCTAATTACTAATCATCTTGCTAATGTCTGTTTTGAAATAGACACATGATTTCATGATACTAATGAAGGAAATCTAGAAAAAAAGGGGGAAAAAAAGCCTACGGTGATAAATTAGGAGACAGAGTCTATCCATTGAGAGGTTGATCCCTGTTCTTCACTGCAAATGTTCCACGGTCCTTGAGTTTTAAATCTCTCGCAGCATAGCTGAAGAGATCTGGAAATCACCTGACGGCTTCTGCCAGATTCAAAACCGATATCTTGGCTTTTCAAATATATATAAGGAAGTCTAAATAAAATCAATATTGAAGAAAAGTCTTCCAAATGGTAGTACCATGTTTTCTGCTACATAATTCCAACGGTTCTGTAACTCCCATGCTAAAGACAATTTCCACATAGAGTACATAAGTAATAATATAATGAAAGACAAATTTATGCATGTATTATAGTGTTCAACCTCTGCTCAGTATTTTGGGGACTAAGATTCACATACATGAAGTGTGCTAGACAAGCTGCCAAACTTTCCATCTCCATATCTGGAAATGTCATTTCTGCAGCAGAACAGGCTCTCTGTTAATGCAGACAGTTACACACCCTCATGCAGTAACGTCTCATACGGAACTTTTATCTTTAAATGAACTGTAGGGCTTTGTGCTGCTAAATAAAGGAACACCTTTTCCCACACTTCAGCTTGATGGAGTTTCAGAAAAACAGTCCTGATTTACACCAGTTGACAGTCAATCCTACACAGTCTGTGACATCTGAGAGTAGTAACAGAGGTGGTAAATAGCATCACTATAAAAAACTCCCTAAGCTCCAGCAATTTACCTTGTGCCATTTACACAATTCGATACTGCTTAGCACTCCTAAGCAATATGGGTGATAAATCATTGTATTCTGAACAGGATTAGTGTCTCTTTAAATCTTTTGCTTGAAATTCAGACAAAAAATAAATATCCTGAGCTCTCACTCTCCATGTGGTTACAGACTGTGGAAAAATAAGTTGCGCAAGAGTGCATCTCCTAAGTCAGCACTATGGGCATGCCTATATACTAACTGTCCTGGCTATGTTGGAAGCAAGGTACTTTGCACATAGCAGAACATTTGCTTCTGAGCAGGACTGATTGGCCAGAGATGAGCAGCCTGTTAAGGCAGTTCTGTTTGTTTAGGATTAAGTCAAGTGGCCATAGGTGACTCTGTGTGCTAATGTCCAAGCATATCCATGAGCCAACTGGTTCATTTTGTCTAAATGAGAGGAAAGGAATACTGCTGTAGCTGGGCAAGTCTCAGTTTTGCCTTCTGATTTTCCTCAATGATACCTACACTAAAAGAAACATCAAACAGACCCATCTTCATAAAAGCAGTGAACAACAGATTGTGTTTGTTCGTTGGCTCTCTTGGACTGGTTTTCCATTTCCTCCCATTTCCCGATGGGCCTTTTTGATCCATTGAGAGAAAGAAAGGGAGAAGAGTGTCTGTAATTGCACTGCTTCATGCATTCATTTCTGGAGTGCAAACTGATCAAAGCTAACAACTAAATCCACCCTAAGGAATGGAAATGTGAGGCTCCCATGTCACCCTGAAGTGAGGATCCTCTAAAAGAGCGTTAAATACACAGCCCTATTTAGATGTGATGATGATGCAACTCACAGAGCACAGCCCAAAGCAAAGCAGCATTAATTCTATTCCATAGTAGAGACAAGGAGTAGATACTGAAGGATATTATATGAAATACTCACATGTAACCTCGAAACCTACTTAAGTCATTGTTTGGATTCTCGCATTCAATGATACTGGTGAACTTCAAGGGGTCAAATTCTGAGTCCTGAAAAAACAAAAGTGTCCATTACTTAGGGCAAAGAGTTGCACATTATAGTAAAAATTGTGGTTTTTTTTCTAGATTTCACAATATATTAAAGTCCATTTTTTTTCAAAGGCAATCTAATGACACTGACCACTGGCACTGAAAATCAGAGACCTGGGCACCAAAATTCCTCAGATACCTTCCAAAATCTCCCTTACAAGGAAGATTTTTTTGTTATGGAAGTTGAAGAATGTGGGCTTCTAAAATCATTAGACAAGATGTTGAGTCCCAAACTCAAATTAATTTGGTATGGAGTGGAAATATGAAATTCATCTGAGAAGGCTCAAAATATTCAATAGGATCACATTGTACTCCATGTTCAGTGAAGCTACTGAAAATCTAGGACATCATAAGTCAACATAATGCCAGCTATGAAAAAGCTAGTCTGAGCTTTTGAAATATTAGCAAGACTTCTTAACTGCTTTATGCCAATACAGATAAATTAGTTTACTACAGTAAATTACACACATATAGCAAAATAACTTTTTCTAATTAACACTTAAAAACTTTCTTGATTCTCTAGCTCATTAGTCTAAAGCTGGTGTTTTTGATGACTATATATGTTTACCTGTAGTTAGCACCTTGTTGTGTCTGAGTAAAAACAGCCTATCAAAGCATAATTACTTGATTTTGTTAAATAAAAATCAAGGTTCTCTCTTCTTTGCTAGCCTAAACTACACAGTGAAATCAGAGATACTTGGTCCTGGTGCTGCTGAGCAGGCTCTTTGTCTCCATCAGTGAGAACAACCTTTGGAAAATTGCTTAGCAAACCACTTCAATGAAAATAAGCAATTGTGAATTATCATATTATTAAGCTTTCAACAGTGATAACACTGCAATTTATGTGTTTCATAATGGTTTTGATGTAGACCCCAACTACTGGTTTTTAGAAGAGCCTATGGGAATAGCTGACTGAGAATCAGTAACCAAAGGACAGACACAATCTTACTGACAGCTTCTCTGAAACACAACATGGGTGTCTCTGCTTTTTTAATACTGACTCTACTCAGAAGAGGTGAAAGAAACTGGATTTTAAATAAGAGAGAGAAGAAACTAGAGGATATATCAGCATCACCATCAATGCCCTCCTTCATTTCTCTACCAGCTACACCTGGAAGACAGATTTCCAGTATATAGGAGACAATTTAAATCACCTATGCCTGACACTTCTTGAAATCTTTCCTGTGTTTTCAAGAAACAAGATAATAAAGAGAACTGTGAAGATGGGCTGTCACTTAAAGACAGTTACAGCCTGCTGGAGAAAAGAATCACTTTTATATGCAGAACTCAGCTTGTAAACAAGAGGAAAAAAAAGCCCAGGAGTGAAAACAAAGGACAGCTCTGTGCAAAGAAGATTGCTATGTTAAGAATCAGACTTCCTAAATTACATCAAAGCTGTCAGTCAGGTACCTGAATCTTAGCAAGAAATCCAGGTGGTCTTCTCAGCACCAAATACCTCTGGTATTTATGCTCGTTAGATATTTCTCCTGGTCAGCATTAAATTTCTCTAAGTGGCTGAAGTTTGATTCAGGCAATGCTCGGAAGTACCTAGATCTACAGAGGCACCCCAGACATCAGCAGCCTGTAGAATGGGGCAGATATTGTAAAGCCACACGTTCACCTGCTTTGCCCCTCATTCCTCAGCTGCTCACTTCAGACAGACACTGACACCAGCAGTCACAAGGAAGGAATCACTGGCTAGGGCAGACATCATGAAGCTCTCAGGCTTTGACAACTGAAATTTGTGACTACAGCTCCTAAACTGTACACTCTGCCTGTGCTCTTGCCTCCAGCAAGCAAAGGCTCATGTTACCGAGGCACTACAGCTGCAGCCAGGGATACCCAGCAGCTGGCTTGACTTGAGCTTGTTGGAGAAGGTGAAGATCTCTTAGGCACACAGAGCTTGTTGTGCTGGGAAAGCCTGTGTTGTCTACATAACAACTGCTCTACTGCCCCAGAACATGATCTTCTTTTCCTTCCTTGCCCTGGTATGCTCCTTGGCAGAAAAAAAACCAACCAAAAATTCAAGAAAAATAATCTACAAACATTGTCCAAGGTGCTTCAATGATATACTGTCTGTCTGCCTAAGTACTGTGTTAAAGAAGAGTCACCAGTGTAGCTTAAATTGCATTTGTAAATCAGAAGGAAAATAACATGCTGGAAAGGGAAACTTTAAAAAAAAAAAATATTGTAACATACTATATAAAATATAGTTAATTTAGCACAAATTTTCATTCAGTGGTCTTAAAAAAAGAAAAGAAAGAAATCTTAACATCTTTGATGAATGCCCCTGAGGGAATCCTAGAGACACTTAATAACAAAATCCAGTGTAATCAAATGCAGGATTTCTATGGCTGCTGAACTCAGCAGTGAGAGCCTATTTTCACCACTGTACAGACAATAACTTCTAGAGCAATCCTAAATTTGCAGACTGAATTCTCTTTCTGCTAAGAAAGCCTGCCAGCAAAGCCAGCAACTTTACAAATAAGAAAAAAATCTACTTAAAATGTAGACCTGAAGTCTTCACAAAAACGAGTGATCTGGTCAAGACCAGAGAGGACTAAACCTTCCCGACTTCCCCATCACTACCATGCAACACAGGCTTTCTCCCTCCTCTTTGTTGGATTCTTTTCATTTATGACTCAGTTTTGGAAGTAAAAGTCCCTTATCATTAAATCTAACCGTCTGTGTATTTGTGTTCTGTTACAATTAACTTGAAATATGTGATTATAATCTTTAATCAGAGAATATCTGGGAGGAGAGAAAATCCAATTAGAATAGTAGTTTACGTAAGGAAAGAAAGCTGCTGAATTCTGATTTATGTCAAAAGCTCTTTGGATTATTAATAAATCAAATATCTCCATCTCTTCCCTGTGACATGGAAGGGTAGATATAAACTGATGAAACTGTTTTGATGTGAAAATGCCTTCTGGTAAATGAACGAACAAATACGTTAAACATTGCCTGTGTGTGGCTGCTTTCAGCGGTAATAAAGAAGCTCAAAGTTAACGTAAGATTTCACAGTGATCAAAGTTTCGTTCCTCTTTATGCTGACACACTTCAGCAGCAAATGAAACATAAACTGTGATCATATTCTCATGTGTTAACAGCTAAGAGAGGCTTCAGCCAGACAGAAGCTAAAGTCAAAAGTGTTGCTTTTATGGGGCACAAATCATGGTTTGTCTGGTTTTCTGGGTAAAAGTCCACAAAAACTTGAATTCTCCTCCACTACCTTTAACTCTTCTGTTACACTGAATTTATGCATTCCGGTTATGACACAGAGATAAAAATTAAAATATTGTTAAAAATATGGTCAAAAATAGTACTTCCCCAGACTTTTGTGCAGCAGTTATCTGATGTGCCTGATTCTCAGTGTCTTACTTCACGTTTCAAGAGCTGCCGGCTAGTAAAGTTGTCCCAGCCTCAAGAGGATGAAAAACTCCAGGCCTAGACAGACTACAGTCTCAACTGAGCCTTTCTAGTGCCTAATTTCCCTAAAATCTTCATCTATTTGGTGTTCTCATGGCCTCCCAGTGCACATCAACAATACTAGGTCACTCACAAAGCAGCTGGATGCATATTTTTTTATTTCTGAAGGTGTGTAATGGTGTCATATTTATTATATTGTACCTTTGCATGTTTCCCAAACCTGTGCACTGATGACTTTTTGGCTGACACAAAACTGAGAGACATTCACTAATTGCAGATAAATTCCCTAGATTATTTAACAAAACTATTGGATGGCAGAGGCCAGGGCTAAATTATCTTCAGGTCAGTCAGATTTTTCTGTTAAATAACCTGTTCTCCCTTTGCTGCAATGTAAATTCTAATTGCCATCACTAATTTTGAGTCCCTGTAAAATGTAGACAGGGCAAAATATCTTGCTTACACTTAAGGCAGAGTTCCTACTACTAGTAGTAGGAACTTAATTAGTCCCTATTATGCACTACTAGGTAGTGCTTAATTCAAAGCATAGACTGGTGACTGTTAAGACATCACAGAAAAACTGTGCTTGAAAGGATACATGAAGGTCACTTGGAGTAAAAGTAAATCTAAAAGGAGGGCCAAAAATGATTACACTAGTTTCAGTGAGTGCTGACTTTGAAAAAAAAGCCAATACGAGCACCACTTATGTCAAATCTAAGCAAAATCAAGCACATCCAATTATTTTAAGAGAAAGAAAAGAAACAGCCACCAGTACTCAAAAGTTTTGGCTCCTGCATTAGAACTCTAAGGCTGCACACAAACATTGCCACTTGTCCTACCTCCCTCCAGGCCAATCGATACTGATTCTCTTTGAAAGGGCTCCAGTATGAGAGATGGATGATATTTAGGAGTCAAGAAATGAAGATTTGTCTTCCATGGAGCTGGAACAGGAACTGAATCTTTGTTTTGCTCTGTTTTGAGCAACTGGGATTAGAGTAAACCCCTCTACCCATGCGAGTGTGGCCAGCAGGACTAAGGAAGTAAATGTTGCCCCATACTTGGCACTGGTGAGGCCACACCTTTAATACTGTGTTCAGTTTTGAAGCCACTCATTACAAGAGGACACTGAAGTGCTGGAGTGAGTCCAAAAGCCAAAATGATTCTGATTCTATGACTTGAGATTTCAGATACAGTCATCTGCCTTATAAACAGCTTTCTACCAGCCATGACTGCATAGAAGCATTCATGGATAGCCCCATACTGTGGTTGTTCATACCCTGCATTCAAAAGCCTTCAGTGACTAAATGTTATCCATTTCATTCTAGAAGTTAGAATCTTTTTCTAAGAAATAGCATTTTAAAAACAGGTCTTGAAAGTTTCTGCAGTATGAAATGATGCACAAGATACATCGGAGGAGCAAAGACTACCTCTTGCTTCACTCTTCTACTGTGTCATATCATATCAAAATTACAAAAAAAGAAAATACAACAAAGAGAGACTTTCCTCAAATATCTGACTTCATGTGTTGATTTTGT